TTGGATATTTAATGTTGAAAAGAACTTTTGGGTAGATGAAGCAGGCCTTTTAGTTATTTTTTGGTTTTGTGTTTTGATTTGGCTGTAATTACTAATTACCATCTTTCCTATGATGTACTTTGAGAGAATGCAACTAGAAATGGGATACTTGTGGGTGCAAGCACAAAATTTTTTCAATAGTTTCTATGTTGCTTCAGTATGAAGAAAAAGTGTGCAATGGAGAGTTGACTTAGAGATTTAAAGAAGCAGAAGTTGAGTCCTAATGTGCAATTCTGTTTATTTAATGAAGTTGTTGGCTAGACTCAAGATGTTATAGTTGTTAGGAAACAAATATGTACAGCCTGGAGCATTAACCAAATATATATCCTGGAGATACATAAAGTCTTATTTGCATTGCCTTCTTTTTTTTTTTTCCTCCTTCCAAATGCAACCACATGAGCACCTAGGTATGTTAATTTTGTAGTACTGGTACACATTTTGTATATTAAATAAACTCAAAGTGACCATAACGTACTGCATTCCATATTTTTGCTGATTCAATTTGAGGACTTGAATACTTGGTTCATTCTTTAGTTAATGATGATACTCCTACATTTAGGATATGTTGATGTCACTCATATTCTGGTTATGTTGCAGGATGACACTACATTTGAGAAACAAAGTGCCCTTTTTGCTTTGGCAATCGCAGACATTGTTCTAATAAACATGTAAGATTGGCATTATTCCTACGTTTCAGTTGGTCTATTTTATGGGTGCCAAAATTTATGTGAAGCTTGGTTTGGGGCCAGGCTCAGGCTATGGAAATCACAAACTTCTTAGCAATGAACAGGCTCTGGGCTTTTTAGGGGATGACTTGGTTGGGGGACTAATGCATCCCTGTTTCAAAAGTACATAGTCTAGTGGGATTTTGTCCTAAATGAATGGTGTCAATTTTGTCTGGTTACATTCAGTATACGATAAAACTCATAAACATAAATCTCACCAGTTGCTTGCACTTGTCAGAACTACTCGATTACTGTATATTGCATAGTTTGTACTGGGAATGTTTTTAACTCATCAATACTGGTCTGTGTTTGGCCCATTTCAAGCTTTATGTGGATGGAATGTTTGCCTCTAGGTCTTTATCATTTCTCTCAGCACTGCAGAATGAATTATGTGCTTTTCCTCATCGTGTGTTTTGGTTTTCTTGTATTTCAACACAAGTAATCATTGGGGTAATGGTATTGAATCAATTACAGTGAGATACATCTATTAATTAAACTTTGTTAGTGCCAGAAGCTATGGGATAATAATCATCCAACTAGTTGAAGGATAGTGTGGTTGGCTTCTCTTATCTTCCTTTTGTGATCATGTATGTTTATGTCCAACTGTGGCTTTTATCAGAGTCTGATTCTATACCTATTTTTGTGCATATATTTACACGTCTCCATATGTATTTTTATATATGCAAAGCTCACGAAGATGCTGGGAGTGGTTTCATATATTAATCAAATCTTAAATATCAATATAGGTGGTGCCATGATATTGGTCGGGAGCAGGCTGCCAACAAACCTCTTTTAAAAACAGTTTTCCAGGTATGCTAGCTGTTTGTCTATTCTCTAATGTGTTATCGCCATTTTTTCTACTTGACAGTTTATGTGCTCTGCCAAACCTAGGTTATGTTGCGTCTATTCAGCCCTCGGAAGACAACACTACTCTTTGTTATACGTGATAAAACAAAGGTCTGGACTTCCTATGCGTGCAAACTTCTTGCCTAGCTGATTGTAATATCCGTGCTAAAACCTCAGTTGTACATGTTTGTTGCATTCTGAACGCTCTTTCTTGTTTCTGACTATTTATGCAGACTCCTCTTGAATATTTAGAGCCTGTCCTTAGGGTAGATATTCAAAAGGTAATTTTTTGTATATATTCTCGTGCTGGTATTTTGGTTCTTCCTCTTTTTCCCTTGCTTTCCCACTCGTTATTCTTTTCACTGGTGATGATTTCTTCAGATATGGGATTCAGTTCGTAAGCCTCCAGCCCATATAGATACTCCACTTAGTGACTTTTTTAATGTAAGAATATTTCTCTCTCTTCCCTTTTGTTTCCTTTCTATGTATACACTCCATAATCTATATATTCCTTTAAGTTTTGAGAATCATTTTATGTTTGATCTTTGGTATGAAGGTGGAAATCACTGCCTTACCTAGCTACGAAGAAAAGGAGGAGCAGTTCAAAGAGCAGGTACTCCCCCTAATAAAAGAAGCTGTTTTTTAAGCTGGAATTTATAATTTTCATAACCTGTATCAGTTTTCAGAAGCTTCAACTTCAATTGTGCTTGGTAGGAACAATGGAAAGTGGAAAAGACTTTTTAATTCATTGCAAGACCTTGTGACATTAGATCCAAAAGTCTTCTTTCTAGATCCCTACTAGGCTACTCTGCATAGGTTTATTGTCTATGTATTTAGCCAAATATTCAAATTTTTAGCTCTGGTGAAATCCTGCTTCATTATCCCTTTTCTAATGGGGGAAATTGGGGTCGTCTAGAGCCCATATTTAAGCCTAATGGCATTTTATGTTGTTTTATGCAGGTTGTTCAATTGAGGCAGCAATTTTTTAATTCTATTTCCCCAGGAGGACTTGATGGTGACAGACGGGTTGTTGTCCCAGCCTCGGGTTTTTCTTTTAGTGCTCAGCAGATATGGAAAATTATAAAAGAGAACAAGGACTTGGATCTTCCTGCTCACAAGGTTATTATTTATTCATATTTTTCCATTTGAATTTCTTAGTTTTTTCTACTACTGCAAGTAAATGTTCCTTCATTATGCTTACCAGGTCATGGTTGCCAACGTCCGGTGTGAAGAGATTGCTGATGAGAAGTTCTGTGGCTTAACCAGTGATGAGGTGCTTTTGATCCCATCTCTTTTTAGTTATTACTCGCTAGTTACTTGCTATATTTTACTTACTGACAGCTCAAGTGAATATTATTTAGGCATGGATAGAATTAGAAGAAGCTGTTCAATCTGGACCAGTACCTGATTTTGGGAGAAAGCTGAGCTCTATTCTAGATACCTATTTTTCAAAGTAAGTTTATCTCTCTGTGTCATGTATGTACTGTTTGTATGTGTCCCTGTTAGTGTAAGAGACATCAATGTTTCTATCTAGTGTAAGATCAGAACTTTGGTTTTATCAATAATATTATGCAATATTGAAAGGTTTCTCCATTAGATGTTTGCTTTATGGTGAACCAATAACTCCAATCAAGCTAATTATTTAAAAACTTCACATATTTTGTGTATAATGTTTTGAATTTGAAAACCATTGAATTTTATTAATTCAAAAATGAAGTTTTGTAGTTTTTTTTAATGCTATTTTGCCCACAGATGAATTTAAAAGCCTAGATCATCTGTGATTATGAGTCTGAATGATTGTAATTTCAGCTTGATTTGAAAGACCTAAGCCTGTCTATGCACCTGAATTTTCTTTTACTGTAGATATGACATGGAGGCAATCTACTTTGATGAGCGTGTAAGAAATGCAAAACGTCAGCAATTGGAGTCAAAAGTTTTCGATGTAAGGCCTTCATCATAACATTGCGTATTCTACTTGAATTTTCAGATTATTGATGGTGTTTTACATTCCATTGCAAACTTGAAGGATTAAACTACAAGAAAGTTATATAATTCACCCTAGCATTTTGGCAATTGGTGGAGATACTTGAAGTTCTACCAATATAGGCAACTGTAGAAGCTATAACCCATAGCAGTTTCAACTATTTTTGTTATAGAGCATAGCATAAAATGCAATGGAACAGGCATTCTATCGGAATTTCAGAAGGCCTTTATTGAATTGTTGCCAAAGATGTTCCATTTCCGATGGCTTAGATATGACTCTTGACTTTGTTAAAGATACTTGCAAGATAGTACTTCAGGGTTATCTCTAAGCACTTTGGAGCTTAGATACTTAAATTATTTGACATAATTCTTTTTAGATATTTAGAGATATCATTATTAGTTTTCGCAAGCTTAGTAATGGGGCATCTCCAAATCAGTGATATATTTAATGTATGGAATATGGACAGCATTTTTATTGAATTTATCATTATGATGGCTGGGTAATTTGTTTAAGACCAAGTGATTAAGTAATCATATTTTGTAGTTGAAGTCCCTGCTTTTTGCCCCTCTATCCAAACTAGGTTTTGTATGCAGTACTTGGATGTTTGTGTTCAAGAGATCAATAGTACATGTCTGATATTTGGAACAGTCTTTTACCTCTTGTGTTCTAAACTATATTCTTGTTGCTCTTTTAATATACATTTCATCTTTCTCTGATTGAGTGAACTCTCTTCCGTTTTCCAGTTTGTCTATCCTGCTTATACAAAGTTGTTAGGACATCTACGCTCCAAAGCACTAGAGGATTTTAAGTCTAGATTAGAAGAAATGTTAAACAAAGGAGAAGAATTTGCAGCTTCTGTTCCTACATGTACCAATTCTTGTTTGGTTGAGTTTGACCGAGGATGTGAAGGTAATTCAATATTTGTATCATATGAGACAAGTTTTCCTATGCTAATCATTTTCATCTTTTGCTGAAGTTGTTATACTGTAAGTGTACAAGATTGTTCTATTATGATTTGTGTTTTAT